CTAAGTTGCCTAGCCTACACAAAAGCCCGAAACTCTATAATCCGGGTACGGTGGTGCATGAGTGCAGTGCCAGCCGTGGGGAGACCGACGTGGGAAGGTCATCCTTGACCACACAGTGTGTTTGAGGCCAGCACGGCGTTCATGACACCCCGTTTCAGATTTTTATACAAGCGGAAGCATGATGACTCACACCTTTGATCTCAGCGCTCAGGAAGCAGAGACAGGTAAATCTCTGTGATTCTTAGTAGCCTGGTCTACCTAGCATGTTTCCAGGCCAGCCAGTGCTACCTAGCAACACCTTGTCACAAAAACACCCGAACAAGCACACATACGAAAACAGCGTGAACGGAGGCTACGCTACCAGAGCATTTTTGACACAAAGCACTTGGAATCGGAGAAGAGTGAAGATGTGGTCCCTAACATGTCAGCCTCCCCCTCGCCGCAAACCTTGTTAAGGGACACCAGCCTGCAAAGTGTAAGCTTGCCTGGAGAGGAAGGCAGCCAGGGCAGGAGGTGAGGGACTGGTGAGCTCACCCTTGTGCCACTTTTAATATGCTCCTCTCCAAACTTTAGAAAGCAGAGAACCGACGACCCATATTGTAGGAGATCAAAGGCACATCGCTTACAGGAAGTAATCTGGGGACATTTGAATCAATTCTCTGCTTGACAACGTGGAGGAAGGTGGCTCTGGTGTGGGGCATGTTCCCAAGTTCACCTTTTCCTCAGGCCCCTCTTATCCCAGGCACTGTTACCAGGAGGAGCTCTAAACGCCCTGACTTGCTTTTTAGCTTAGTTAGATCCCATAAAATCAACACAACCAACTAGTATTGTTCTTCCAAGAGACACTTGATTTTTTTTTTTTTTTTTTTTTTTTTTTTCTTTCGGTTAATTTTTTTTCTTTTTCCTTTGTTATCACAGGGGGAAAACTGGACCCAAGTCCCCTGGCCACCAGACTTCTTCTGTGTGGAATTTCCACCACAGTGTCATAACGATTCCTGTTGCTCCCTTTGCCCTTCCAGGGGATTACGGACAACCTACAAGCGAAGGCTCTGGAAATTGTCTACCTACTTCCACAGGCCATGGAACGAGGAGCCTGCACGGAAGGTCTTAGAAGCCGTAGTTACCAGAGCACACAGCACCTCCAGGACAGCTTGTCACCCATTTACCCCTAGTCATGGGCAACACCGGGACAGGTGCAGCCCATCAGGGAAACTGTGGCAACTCTCTGCCAGCAACAGACTCTAATAGTCCCAGCTAGATGTCTACACAGACTGCGGGCCCTGAATAGATTTGCACAGGAGGGCTCTGGCTGTTCCTTTCAACAGGAAGTGGCGCTGGCTAACTCAGGGGCAGCAGAGGCTATGGCACGGTTAGGAAGGAAAGTGATTGTAGCGCCCTCTAGTGGGCTGCTGCCGGAAAGCGGAAGTGGAGAGAAGTGGAAGAAGGGGCCTGCCCTGGGCAGACATCAGAGCTACCGGATGTCACTGCAAAGTAACGCATTTGATCTTCAGAGGAAGCTGTTCCCATCACACCTAGCACAAATATCTTGTTGACAGAGGCTGTTCTCACGATCAAGCGGCAGGTGAACCAGAGTTTGGGGGCGCTGATCCCCTACGCGGGAGCTTCACGAGCCATGGTCGCTCCACTGTGAACAAACCAGAGACTTAGCTCTCTGAGGCTAGCTTCCTTCCATTTGCCAGGAGTTATGGAGGGGGGGCAGTCAACCAGGCAAATTTCCATCCCTGGGTTACTCTGAAATGCTGGGTGTTGGTGACCGTGACTCAGGGAACTCATAATTTATTGCTAAATCAAGCTAACCCACAGGTCACCAACTTCACCACACCTTGCCCTCGTGGTGATCAGTCGAGGGCCCTTTCCCTCGTCTCGCCCACGCTGCCCTAATAAACCAAGTGGGTTTTGTACTCTGGGGTCAAGCTGAAAGAGAATGTCCCTTTTCTATGATTAGACAGGAAAAGGCTCCAGGCTAAAGGTCCATCAGAGCTATTGGCTGTTGAGGAGATGAGACTGAAGAACTCATACTAGCAGAAAGAGAGCATCCACAGGACCCATCCCTTAGGAAGGATAGTAAAGACGATGGCTGACTTACATAGACTAAAAGCCAGTGTGGGTCAGCAAGACTCTACTTATAGTAAACCATGCAATCATCACAAAAGCCTTGTGCTATCAGTAACCTATAAAACGGCCATTCTTGCCTGGGTACCAGACTCATTTCCATACTAACCAAAGTCATCTGGTTATCATAACTGCCTGCTGCCAAACGAAGAAGTTTACTGAGATAAAGCAGTGTGGGTCTCCCATCATGCACTTGTACCAGGAAATGAGTTCACGCTGGTGGCTCGTGATGGAGCCACAAACTTCAAAGCTATGAAACAAGAAGAGACACTGGCGGTCACAGGCCATGGTGCCCATTTTCCAGATGGGCTCACGGAGAAGTGAGGACCTGAGGAGGCTTGGTGTGTGTCACACGGAGTTGCCCTCAGCCTGAAGCTCTTGTCCCTCCACCCAACTATATAGCCACCGTGAACTTGAACGGATGGACAGAACTGAAATCTTCTCACCACATCCCAGGGAGACGTCTGCTCACTCAAGAGTGTCATGTTACATCACTTATCTGTCAGCTCGCCCTGGAAACGGACAAAACCCACCCCTAGACTGGTGCGTGACCCCGTGCTATTCTGCGGCCGTGGACTTGGGACACATTGCCCGCACCCACCATGCTCTGGGGCTCTCCGGTTACTTTTCTTGGATGTGTTCTGCCACTTGACTGAAAAGCAGGCGCACCCGACTCTAGGCTGGCGGAAGAGAGAAACGTGAGGAGAAGCGTGAAGAAGTGAGAGGGAGGCTGTGTGGGGGAGGAGAGCGAGAGACAGGGAATGAATCATGGGAACGCTGCTGTATCCCATCCCAGGTCCAGGGTCAGGATGACAGATGGGCATGGTGACAACAGCCGCCCCCTCCCACCGGCTTTCGGGAGGAAAAGAGGGGGCTGGAAAATGCTCAAACTCTCATTCACCTGCGCTGAACAGTGGGGAGGAAATGGGAGCCAGACTATGGTAGAGAGTCAACCAGACCACCCCACCCCTACCCCCGCGCCTCTGTAACTGAGTGTCTGTCCACCGGTGGCAGCCCAGAAGTCCAGCCACTGGGCCCACGTGCTGGTTTGGCTGACTGCCTTTCTTCCCCACATCACCTCAATTCACTTCGCGACTTCGCAGCCTTTGAGTTTTCCTGGCCGTCCATCCTCTCACGTCCCGCATCCCACCTCTCTTATTGGCACTGCTTTTCCTAGGGATGGGGTCTGGCCGTGTCTCACTGGCTCCACTGCAGCAGCCCAATCCAAACCATGCACTCTCTAAGATTATTCAGCCTCATCACTGGTGATTCGGAGAAAACTAATCACTCTTCAGAATCCTGTAGGAATGGCTTCCTGCGGTCCCGGAGCACAGGAGTCCCATGGGGCCCTGACTTGCCCGACCCACCCTCCATCTGAGGGTTTCTCTGTATCATCTCCTACCCTGCTGATGGCTCCCCAACCTCCAGTCACTTGGCTCCTCCCTCTATCTACAAACCAGCTGCCATGTTCCTACCTTTGCATATGCTCAGAGTGGACCATTTTCTCCTGATCTGATGACCTCCTGGGCTTTAGCCAAGCACCACCTCCTCACTCAGTCTTTCCCTGCCTCCCTTTTCTCAATAGTCCTATATTGCAGATAAACTCACCTACTGTACAAATATCTATTCATTTGCTGTATTAAATTCTTGCCTTTCCTGGACAGGACCCAATCTTAATATCAGTCATGGGGATTATTTAGAAACAAGAGAAGTCTGGTGGAGAAAAGTGTGTGTGTGTGTGTGTGTGTGTGTGTGTGCGCGCGCGCTTGTGTGTGTATATGAATGTTTGTTCAACTACGTGTGTGCATGTGTGTATATGTGTGTACATGTATGTGTGTGTATGTGTGTGTATGTGTGTACATGTATGTGTGTGTATGTGTGTGTTGGAGATGTTTTACAGTAATCTTCACTTATAATCGGTTTATGAACACTTGATCATTTGAATAAGTACTTTAACCGTATTTATCAGTCAGAGTCTGCGCTTTCTCCACTCATTCATTGGCCCAGCTGACATTCACAAATGGTCCTTGCACATCGAGTGTTCTAGCGGACACTGGGTACAGCCTTCCTGAGAATACGGTCCCTAGGGTAGGGTAACCGGCCCAGCTGTGACAACTAATCTGGGAGAATCTTAACATTAAGGCAGATGGACACATGCACACAACACCCGACTAGGAAGTAAGTATAGACCAAAAGGAACAAATACTTGGGTGAGTGGCTACTGGTGGGAATGTCCCTCTCCAGTGACCCCCGAAGAGAGTAGAGGAGTGATTGTTGGGGGAATTCCAGAGTAACATTACTGTTGTTCTCATGAGGACAAGCAGTCAGCTCTGGACTCAAAGGAGAACAATGAGAGTGACTAAATGGGCTGGCATGGCAGTACACACACTGTAATCTCGGCATTAAAGAGGATGCAACAGGAAAATGAAGAATTCGCGGTCATCTTTGTCTATATGGTGAGGTGGAGGGCAGCCTAGGCTGCATGAGAAAGCCTGTTTCAAATAAGAAAAAGTGAGACCACTCTCACTCTCCTGAGGAACCTATGTATGATATCAGCAGACCCTGGGAAGCCCTTTGAAAGACAGTTCTGACCTTGACATATACCCTGCGCTGAGACCTGAGAGGCAGACCATGCTAGACAATGGTGTACAGCTGGTCTCCTAGGGGAACATCCCCTGCCTGCGGCAATCTGCAGAAGCTGATGGAGCACCTTCTCTGGTGGCCCACTAGTGGGCACCGTGGGTGAGAAACATTGGGAAGCTGGACAAGTGCTTTGGCATCTCCGCATCTACCTGCCTTTGTCAAAGCCACGCAACGTGAGTGCTGAGCTTAGCTCTTGGGGTTGTTACACAGCACAAGGCATGGCCTCTGAGACTGCCATTTATTTATGAGTTAATTCTTCCACAGCCAGGCCATGCCTGGATGGTTCCGCAGCACAGCCATGGCTTCTTTGGCTCCCACATCATCCCATCCCCTTCTCTCTGTTGGTCATACCATCAGCCCTCACTCTGCTCCTGTGGCCCCACCCCCAGCATTCAGAACCTCATCTTTAACTACAGGAACTCCCCTATCCCGGCCCTTTCCGTCCCAGTTGCCGCCTGTGGAAAGCCACCAAGGACTATCCGGCAGAGTCATTCAATGAGAAGGGGGTGCCATCCTGCCATCCTCCAGGGAAGTTGAAGGCCAGGGGTTCTGGGTCCAGTCACTCTCCGCAAGGTGTGCGTAGGTTTCCCCGAGTGGCCCACATGCAGCCCGGCCCTGCAAGGGAGGAAGGAGAATAAAGGAAGTTCAGATAAGGACATGAAGACATAAACATGGGAGATGCCATCATACAAATTGTAATTTGGCTTTCATTCCTCATCTCCTCTGGCACTCACAAGGACCCGTTACCAGACCTCCGCTCTCCTTGCTCCATCACGCACTTCGACTACAGAACTGGCCCATGGTAGGTGAGTGCAGGCCAGCAGAAGCCTGTCCTCCTTCCTCATGAAGCATCCCTAAGCTGGTGGCTCATCACGTGCCTGAGTGGAAACTGAGCTACACATCGGGAACTCGGTCCGTGCTTTCCTCACAGCCCTCACGTGTCAGCAGCTCCAGTGTAATTTCTGCACCAATCCCCGAAAAAGACACGATCAAAACCATTCGATCTGGAGCTGGAAAATGACAGATTAAAAAGCACCCACCATACAAGACCGAAAACTTGGGTCTGATCCCTGGAGTCGTGGTGGAAGGAAGGAAAGAACTGATTCATTCAAGTTACCCTCTGACCTGAGAGCTCACACCTGTGTTCTCTCTCTCTCTTTCTCTCTCTCTCTCTCTCTCTCTCTCTCTCTCTCTCACACACACACACACACACACACACACACTCACACACACACACACACACTTTCTCTCTCTCTGTTAATAGAATTCTTTACTCTTTATAAAACCCTCCAATAAATAACAAAAGACAGTTTGTCTATGAGAAAAGAAAAGGTTACCTTGAAATAAGAACCATTTTTTAAAAACATCTAGAAAACAAGGGAGGGGTTTCCACCTAAAATGCTAGCCATCCAACGTCCAAGCAGAGATCATCTGAGCCTCAGAGAGGTGAGTGAAAACTTTGGAAGGGCCTCAGAACAGGAGTCTTGCCAGAGGCAGAGACCACATTCAACAGGATGGTACAATCTAGGAGAGCCAAGATGAAGGTCAAGTTCAGCCTACTGTGTCTGCACACAGTAGGAGATTTACACTGCTGGCATGGCGTTTACTGAGTCCTGTTCTCATGGAAACCAAATAGTGACAAGTATGTAGAAAGAGGCAGAACACAGGGAAGGAGAAGCTTAGTAGTTCCAGGCAGAAAGAAGTCATGTGAGAAACGAAATATAGTCTACCCTAGCCCTCTAGAGGCGCCTCCAGGGGGAACGCTATTTACACAGCCACGATAAAGAAGAACTGAATTCAGAGATGTAAACACTGACGATTACACTACAGTGGGTAGAGAAGGTAGACATGGGCTCTGTGTGTAGTGTGGAGAGCAGTGGTGGGTGGTATCTTCCACAGTAGGAAGTTAATTTTTCTGAGACTTAGGAGACAAAACTTCAGAAGCAACACAAGTGTATTCCAGTGCATGCAACCATAGTCTAGACAAAACACAAGTGTATTCTTGGGAGTGCAACTGTGGTCTAGACAAAACA